CTTTGGATGATTTAAATAACAGCACTAAAAGCAAATTTATAGGATTTTACAAATAAATAACAATAAAATATAAACAATAAATGATGGAAAATGCAAAACACTCTTTCACTTTACACTCTAGAAGCACTACAACAAAAGGGGTCTGAGAGAAAGAAAGCATGGCAATGACTGTGTGCATTAATAAAGGGGTGAAGGGAGAACCTAGCACTAGAGATGGGGGAAACCAAGCACCTAATCACAATGCAACTGTTAGGTTAAATGAGAAAGACGTACAAAGCTACCTTTTCACCATTCACACTAATGCTGAGGACCCCGATGCTGACTTGCAGCCAGCGGTCGGTTGGATTGAGCACACTGAGGAGGGTCTGGGAAGCGATCCCGACACAGCAAGCGTGAGGAAGCTTCAACTCCTCCGGCACTCGGACACTCCCTGGGTGAGAAGAAGGCACAAAAATGCAGGTTACAGCAAATCCCAGATTATAAGCCAAACCTGTTAAACGGCAGTGAGTTTACATGACGGCCGTTTACACTCAAGAGCTAGAGTCACAGTGCTCCTGATGAGGGAGTTCCTGATGTTGCATGAGCCTCAGACACCTGCCTACAATTTTTTCCTGCTTCCATCCAGCCCAGGAAAAGAAAATTAAAACTGGATCCAACTCACAATTACAGCTAATCAATTCTTTGAGGTTACTGCCTGTAAGTAATCTCCTTTCCTCTCAAAAATTATAAGTCACTGCTTATCCTAAAACAAAACAAAACAAAAAACAAAAACAAAGAACTCCAGAGGCTCTAACTTTCCAGACGTAGACACTTATCAGATTTTACTGCTGCCACCTATCTTCCAACGTCCTCATGCAGTTGTTCTGGAGGGCAGAGAAGACAGTAGCCCAGTGGCCGTGTGTACCGTGTCAGTAAAAGCACAGCTCCCAGAGAGAAGCTGCCCCACACATGCACCTGAGAGTGCTGCCTCTCCCCACAACAGCCACCCAGAGACTCACAAGGTGGAGGCACTCGCTCATTCTGGGATTCAACTCTAAACTGGACATTTCCTAGGTGAAATAATCACAAAACTGCAACGGCAGAGCAAAAAAGAGACGAGGAGGGCAGAGCCATAGGCAGCCTGTCACCTGCATAAGTGTAGCATTTTTCTAAGCCAACTTCAGGGACGCTTGCACAGAAATATATGGTGTTCTCAGTTTAGGAAGAAGCACAAAACTTACAAGGAATTAATGCTAACCACTAACTCCTTGGAACAAACCAGCTTTGTGGTGTCATTTGAGAAAATAATACCAAGCAACAAAACAGAGAAAGAGCATCTTACCAAATC